AAAGAAACACAGTAGCTACCAAGAAAAGCATGAGATATGTATGCAGGGAAACATGTCCCCAGGACATACAATTCTGAAGACTGTGAGTACTCAGCCGTTTATCAGACATGAAAGCAAGGAGCCCACTAGGAGAGGACAACTCCTCAGAGCAGCCTAGACTACTGAAAGCATTTGGCACCCAAGGGAAAAAGGTTTCTTTACAAACTTCTAGGACCATCAGAGTATCATGTTCTTTTATCTGAAGAGAACAAACTGTGAGTTATAAGAAAATTCTCCTTGCCATAGTAGCCTGCAAAAAGGAACAAATTAAATTGCTAATTACTACTTAAATTACTAATTTTGGGTAAGGTTTTTATCCTGGCATGTGCCTATACAGAATTTATTTTTGATGAGGGTGTCTTCCAAGAAGGTATTAAGAGGAAATGGAACCATTACCTGCCCTGAATGCATTGTTCCAGTGGCTAATTATCTTGCTGTTAAAGATTTGAGCTTAATTTTGAATCTGAACTTCTCTAACTTCAGCTTCCAGACATTACATCCTCTTCTGTAAGATTCAAGAGCCCTTCAAAATCCTGGTGAAGGCATGCTGTAGTCCATGTGTCTCTTGATCTTCTTTTACACTAACCGAACAGAGTAACTTCTATAAATCCTTCGCTATGAGACATTTTCTCAGTTCTTCAGAATAATTTCTGTGACTCTTTCCTGCATTCTCTCTCATTTTTTAGTACCTTTTTAAAATATACTGGACTGAACTGTATCTAGCCTACCTTCTGAATGCTCTGCCTTCTTCTTTGCTTACCATTACATCCATCTATCTTTATAACGTGTCCATTCTTTGCCAGTGGTCCTGCGGGTTATTGAATAACTGCAAGTCTGGCACAGGCTCTGTTGGAAGCTAGTGTTTTAAGAGGTTGTAGGAAAAGAAGGTTTAAGTCCCTTCAAAAGTATTTCAATGAAAATTGGCACTTCTGTTATAATGATACATGATAAGACAAGTGCCTTTCAAAAATCTGTTTCATCTGTGGGGAATAAAATATATCTTCCCATTGTAATAATATCATGTCTGTGTGACAAGACTTATTTTCTATTAAATTGATATATATTGGCAAGTATTTTTTATGCTCTGTTTTCTTTCTTTTCTTTGGAAATGGACAAAGACTAATTTAGAATAAACCCAAAACATTCTCTAAATAACCCCTACTTTAGTTATGATACTAATTGTTTTCAGTTTACCTAGCAATTCAGGAAAAAATGAATGAAGACTTCCAACACCTAACCCACCAATGGATGGGGGGAAAAAAAAGAAAAATTTAAAAATAAAAAAAAAAAAAAAAAGTTAAATGGGCTGTTCACTGCCCAGGGTATACCAGCTATAAGATTCTGAAAGGTCAGTAATAACTGCACAATTTTGTGTGTGGGCAGAGTTTGGTTCATTACATGAGTGTCTAAATACCATTCATGTAACACTGAAGATTAAATCAATGTGAAGCTGAAGTCTCCTGAAATAAAATTCTAACAAAAGCCATTTCTAAAATGCACAGAGTCTGTTGTCACATATTTGCATTTTTCACACTTCCTTTGTATAGTGAACCATTCCTATCTGCAAGAGTTGTTACTAGAACATGAACTTGCTGAATTTTATTTAAGTTACCATGAGGGAAAATAAAATCCAAAGGAAAAATAACTCCAGGTAATGAGGACTGTGATTCGACTAGGAGTTTCTTCAGTCTGGTTCTGGTCAGATGGATTAAAGCTTAGGAGTCAAAACAAAGAGATTAAAATAGAGGGTGCCCAGAAAGGAAGAAGAGAAGCGTGCGACCCTGTTGGATATCGTGAAGGGAGGCCTGCTAGATGGTAGGGCCCCAGGTGCAGAGTATGTCAGTGTGTTATTTCAGGATATTTTTTTTTTCTACTTGAATAGGTCTGGTTTGTTTCTGTGGTTAGCTCCATATTTACTTGCTGGATAACTCAGGATGCATCCCAAAGCCTGATTCTTCTACTGTTCAAGAAGTCACTGGAGTGGGTGATGTTTTTCATACCTCTGCTTTATGAAGAGGGTTTCTATCCATGGCACAGCCCGTGGTCCTGGAGGCAGACTTGCCACTCAGGACATGGCTGGGGCATGGTCCCCGAGGAGTACTTCCCACCTACTGCCAGTTGCAGATAAGTGAAGGAAAGAAGACTGCCTGAAGAGTGAGTAACTTCCAAACTACGCCTGGGACAGAAAACAGCACTAGATTTCACACCTGACGCCTCAGGATATGCCAATATTATGCAAAGTCATGCTGTGTTACCTGAGCTAGGTCAGAGTATCGTTGTACATCACCATGGCAGTCACAGCGTCAGACAGGGATCGTAGCTCAGATCCAAAGCCAGCACAGTCCAAACTCAGCTTCCTGTTCCAGCACTAGGCTGTTCTGTGCTAGCTTGAGGGTCAGCAAACAGTGGTACAAGAGCTCTTTACCTATGACCTGTCACTAATTTTTGCACCTGTTAATCTTCACAATGCCTAAACAGAGATTTTCCTCTGAATTACAACTGTTCTGTTGTGCTACAGGGTGAAATCCATGTCAGTGCCATTTGCCCTAATGACAACAGCACCATCTCAGTAAAAAGTGACAAACTGGCAATACGGGACACAAACATTAGCTTGCTTATAATGTGTTTTAATTGGAATGGAAATCATTCACAAATTAACTAAGTGAATAAACACAGATCTCCAAAGTCCTAAATTAAAATATTCAATTGAAATGCCTGTCTTCCCCATTTGTGAAACAAATGTTAAAACATTTGAAGAAAAGCTTTTGCATTTTTATTGCAACTGTTCTAAATGGAAGAGTGACAGAAGATAAAACACACCAAAAATACTCAGTCCAGATCAGAGGAAGGTATTTATTACACTGTCACATAAGAAATCAGTGGATAAAACTGGAAGACAGTGATCAGCAGCAATGCAATATCCATTTTTAATCCTTGTTATAAAGCAGGAGGGGCACCAGAAATATGAATGAATAATCTTGAATCATCCAATAAAGTCACACAAGGCTTAGCACAATGACTGAGGTTGACCAGAATGAAGGATGGCACCATGCTTGATTATTGAGTGCATTACTCAAGAAGGGAGAAGGAAATCTTCCTTCCAGATTCCAATCATCCCCTAGGACCAGATTTTCCAAAGCGCTTTAGGTATATAATCACGTAAATGAGGAAAAGGAATGTTTTCCTAAAATTTCCCAGTCTTTTCTAGAGACCAACTCATCCCACTGTTTTGACTTGCCCTAGAGGACAAGCTTCTATCCACTGACTGTAGGGGACACTGGGAGACTACCTGCTGCACACAGACAAATGCATCTCTTGTCTAAAGCTGTTTCATATGGTTGCTCTGACCCAGTGGCTTAAATGCAAGTTCAGTTTCTAACTCACTACAGGTGCCACTAGCCTGCCTGCACTACTCAAGGTGTAACAGCTGTGTAAATCTGGCCATGTTACCCTTAACAGGGACAGCGGACATCCCTATGCCCAGGCTGGCCAGCTCTCGGCACATTGTCAGGTGCTACCTGCTCTAGACCTGATACTGGACACCGTTCCTTTAAATCTTTCATCCTGTATTTTCATTTTCATATGGTTGTAGACCACAGAATCACAGAATGGTAGAGTCTCCAAGGTGGGGCCACTCTGGCGGTGGCCTGGTCCAGCCCTGCATCTCAAAGCAGCGTCAGTTAGAATAGGTCATTCAGGACCTACAAGAAAAGAGGTTGTATCTGAGGGGGGTTGACCTCTTCTCCCATATAACTAGTGACAGGATAAGAGGACATAATCCAAAACTGTGCCAGTGGAGGTTTAGGTTGGACACTAGGAGGAATCTCTTCACAGAAGGGATGAATAGACATCGTGATGGACTGCCCAGGGAGGTGGTGGAGTCACCATCCCTGGAGCTGTTTAAGGAAAGACCGGGAACGGTACTTGGTGCCATGGTATAGCTAGCATGGTGGTGTTCCATCATAGCTTGGACTCTGTGCAATCTCAGAAGTCTTTTTCAGCCTAATTGATTCTGGCATTCTGTGATTTATTTTCACATGGTTATAAACCACAGAATCACAGAATGGTTGAGGCTTTAAGTGCCTCTGGTGGTGGTCTGGTCCAGCCCAGCGTCTCAAAGCACAATCAGCTACAATAGGTCATTCAGGGCCATGTCATAGAATCATAGAACCATGGAATGGTTTGGGTTGGAAGGGCCTTTCAAGATTATCTAGTTCCAAGCCTCCTGCCATGGGCATGGATGCCACTCACTAGAACAACTCCCTCAGGACCCCATCCACCCTGGCCTGGAACACTCCCAGGATGGTGATGTCATCAGCTTTTGAGTATCTCCAGGGGCGGAGACACCACAAACTCTCTGGGCAAGCCCATGCCAGCATCAATTGACCACCCTCGCACTATACGGACAGTTTCGATTTAAACAATTCTCAGGAGGCTCCTGCTGCAGAGGAGAAGCCAGCTGCCCGCCGTAAGGCCGGCTTGAGGGGAACAGCCGCCCGCAGGGTGGGTGCGGCGGTGCCTCCGTGGGTGCGGGGAGGAGCGGGCAGGGGGGGCGTCCGCCCCCTTCGCCCCCCCCACCCTCCGCCTCCCCCGCGCGCACCTGCGCAGGCGCGCGCGCACGAGGCGCGCCCCCGCCCCTTCACACACACACACATACACGCACACGCCCCGCGCGAGCGCGCGGGGTGCGCGCACCTGCGCTGCGCCCTCGGCTCCCCCCGCGCGCGGCGCCGGTCCCGCTGGAGCCTGGAGAGGGACCGCGCCGACCCCTCTGTGCCTCCTTCTTCCTCCCATCCTCCGACCTGCCGGGGGATAAGCCCAGGTGAACCGCCGCCGCGGGTGCGTGGGGTGTGTGGTGGTGTGCGTGTCGTGTCCGCGTCGAGTTTGTAAGTTCTCAGAGAGGATAAAGCCCCCACTTCTCCCCCGCCCTCCCCTCCCCCCACAGCACCAAGCCCGGGCGGGGTTTCCTCACTGGGGGTCGGTGAAGGATATTCTCCCCCCCTACCTCCGCCGCTTCCCCATGCTGCCCGCTCCCTCCGCGACCAAAAATAATACACCAGCTTTGGAATCGTGGCCGCTGGATAATGGGGTTTACGCCGCCCCGCAGGCGGCCCCCACCCAAAATTGCGGCGCTTAATGGGGGCTTCAGCTGTTTATATGGTCTATCTCCCGTGCCGTGCCTTCATCCCTGTGCAGCTGAAGGGAACTGCCCTACGGGTCGCTCAGCCTCCGCGCCTCGCTCTGTCCCTTGGTGGATCATCTCGGGCAATTTTTAAATATCACCCACCCCCCTCCCCCGCCTTTTTTTTGTTTTTGTTTTCTGTTGTCACATTTATGTAACAAGTGCCTGCCTGCACATTAGGTTGGTGTTGCTGACTCGGGCGATGCATGTTCCGGGGGGGATGATGTGTCCAGTGCTGTGCCTGAACATTAAAAATAATGTCTTTCTGTTGAAGAAGACAGGGGTTAAAATGAATGAAGATCTGAAGGTTAATTTGAGCTGGCTGCCTCAGGATCATGTAGAAGCCAGTTCTACAGAGAATGCCTCAGCTCCAGGCTCCTCCCTGGTTCCTGTCGTAGACCCTGAGCCAGAGCTTTTGGTAAACCCCTGGGACATTGTCTTGTGTACTTCAGGGACCCTTATCTCCTGCGAAAATGCCATTGTGGTTCTGATCATTTTCCATAACCCCAGTCTTCGCGCCCCCATGTTCCTCCTGATAGGCAGCCTGGCACTGGCAGATCTCTTAGCGGGCATTGGATTGATCATCAATTTTGTTTTTGCCTACCTTCTGCAGTCAGAAGCTACAAAACTGGTTACGATTGGACTGATCGTTGCCTCTTTCTCAGCATCTGTTGGCAGCTTGCTGGCTATCACTGTTGATCGTTACCTCTCCCTGTATTACGCTCTGACTTACAATTCGGAGAGGACTGTCACTTTTACCTATGTCATGCTTATATTGCTCTGGGGAGCATCTATCTGTATTGGACTGCTGCCTGTAATGGGCTGGAACTGCCTCAGAGATGAATCCACCTGCAGTGTTATCAGACCACTCACTAAAAATAATGCAGCTGTCCTTTCGGTCTCTTTCCTGCTTATATTTGCCCTCATGCTGCAACTCTACATTCAGATCTGTAAAATTGTGATGCGCCATGCCCATCAGATTGCCTTGCAACACCATTTCCTGGCCACTTCCCACTATGTGACCACCCGAAAAGGAGTGTCTACTTTGGCCATTATTTTGGGGACTTTTGCTGCTTGCTGGATGCCTTTTACACTCTATTCTTTAATAGCAGATTACACCTATCCTTCTATATACACCTATGCCACCCTCCTGCCAGCTACCTACAATTCCATTATCAATCCTGTCATATATGCTTTTAGAAACCAGGAGATACAGAAAGCGCTTTGGCTCATCTGTTGTGGCTGTATTCCTTCTAACCTGTCTCAGAGAGCAAGATCACCCAGTGATGTCTGATTGGCAGCCAGGAGGACGCTCCTTAGCAAGTTACTTTCCAGACATTCTGTCTTTGGTTTAGATGCATTCATTAAATGGTGTGTGATGGGTTCAGATAAAAACCACAGGATGGACTGACCTTTTTGTGAACGGAAAACCCCAGTGACCTAAATCAATTGAGTGGTTTAAGGGAGATTTCCAAAATCAAATTAATCAGTGTTCTTACAGATTTACAATGTTGCTCAGGGTCTTTTTGTCATATTACCCAGACTTTGCCATGTTTGCCATGATTTTACATTCAGCTTTCTAATTAAAATTGGATCGAAACAGCATACGTCCTTTGAAATTGTTTATTGTGATTGAATTTAGTTATACTGCATGTTACAATATGTTGTCAGGATATTTTTTTCCTCTTTAATTTTTTTTAAACAGAAAAAAAAAAGAAAAACCAAGTCCTGTTACTGCATATGTATATCATCAGAATGCTCTTCAAAATAATGGCCAATTGTACTGATTTATTGGTATTTATTGTAGTCTCAGTGCAACAAATTTGCTCTAAGTGAGGAAGTACTTGTACAGCTTTTTATTTTACATCTCAGCGTGAATTAGCTTGATAATTGTTTTTAAGGGTTACCTGTTTTCTCATGAGTTCTGGCTGGACGTTAAACCGAAAGATATGCATTGCTTTCCTTTTCAAAAGTCAGCCATATGTTTTCCCTTAGATATGGGACATCGGAGATCACTATGCTATTAATTTTAAAACTGATTGGGGGAGGGAGAATCTCTGAAACTGATGAAACAATGTGGCCTCTTTTGGCTATGTGTTTGTAATAGGTCAAACACTAAGTTTCTCAGATAAGTTTGTCCTCTCAGAAGAGTTAAAAATATCTTTAATAAAATAATCTCCAAATTGCATGCAGCACATATTTGGCACTACATGAAATGGTTTTCCTAAGTTTGTTTTCAAGTCTAAACTATTAGCACTTGTTTTCATTGTTCTCTTATGTAATTTTAAATACTGACGTTTATACATTCTTGGAGCATATCTGGTTCATAATTGTTTGCATCCAGAACTGCAAGATGAGAAAAAAACCCAGTGTTTTCTCCTTTTTCTGGCAGTTTCATCCACTACAGAATGTGATTCTTTGCACTGTACTCATGTCAGTTCACTCCATTGTAAGATGATAGTTCTGGTCTAAAAAACAGAGCTTCCTCTCATGAATGGTTAAATTTCAAACTGCTTCTAACCTTTCACTGAAGCCACATTAGAATGCACCAGAAATAAAGCATTGTTTTCTAATTTGAAGACTTGATTGTCAGGGAGAAAATCTTCCTGGCATATGACTTTGTGAAGCTTATGGTGTGCCCTCATGTCAGTTCATGGAGTTTAGAGTACCACTTCCATTAGTGTTGATGGGAGCTAAATGTCTTCATGCCCTGGCATCAGTAGGAGGTTATTTTCCCTTGAATGTCTAAGTCAGCACACTGTATTGTTGCTTCAGTACCTTCCATTAAAAAAACCCAAAACAGACTCAAATGTAAAAATAGCAATATTTACAGTTCAATGAAAAAAATATACCTGTATAGTAGAGGTAGTAGAGACAACTGCATTGCTGGTCTGGATTTTTCCAGATGGAATCAGTCCTTTTCATGTGGACGTTTGGATGACTGTAGCTTTTTGTGGCAAAGTTTCTGTGACGTTAAGAATCATACGCTATACACAAAGCTGAATCTCAAATGTGAGTGAGTTGTCTGTAAACAAGGCTCTGTAGACATTTTTATGAGCAATAATTAATTTTAGTTGCAATGCCGGGTTTAAATTCCATTGTTTACTTGGTTCAACCTTCATGATATTTGGCTCTTACTTTGTAATCTGATTAGTTTATTAATTGCATGGCATGATCCAGTAGAGCTGTGAATTTGAAGCTCCCCTGGCTTCCCTGTGATTTACAGATGCTCATCAGAGTTAGACTATGACTTCTGCTCAGTGTAGGATATTGGTGTTCTTTATCTACTTCTGAATGTTAATGAAGCTTCAGTCATTGCATTTTTGTATAAGAAATACTCACTTTGTAGAAATCTACGCTACATATGTGTGCAGTTTTTCAAGTATGCAAAGTATTGGGCAGTAAAATGGCACTAAAAGTCATGACATGAATAATGTAAGGAGGCTCAATAATGTAGAATGGCATTTTTAAGAGCAAAAAAATGAGTTAGTTATGCAAAGTTTACCCCCTTCCTTTTTCCTGCATTTGTCCTTCTTTATCAAATTGCTAAAAGTATAATGATAAAATCTACAATTGTGACCAAAATTCAGTCCAGAGGGCAACTGTTGTTTTGCTTATGCGGACCTGTTCTCATCTTCTTGGATAACTTCACAGGCATTAGCGTTTTTCTCTACGCAGCACCTGTGTGATGGGGAAGCCAGAAAAAAAACAGCACAGAGGGAGGTAATGTCATCCTCTCGTGCTGGTTCACCTAGTGTCCTTGTCATCTTCCTCACTCCACAGGCTGCTCAAATCCATAGAGACTCTCCGAGTGCTGGGGGAGCCGACCTTTTCCTTGTGCCAGAGCAGAGAGATTTGTAATTGGAAGCTTCTCTCCTGAGGAACAGTGCAAGTCAAAGAGGAAAGAAGGATTAATTATAGCAGTCCCACAAAGCTAGGGATGCGATTTACCCTTGTTTGAGGAGTAGTGCATGGTTGCCTTTCACCACATACAGATGAGAAACATGATTCTGCCTCCCAAGCCTCTGCTATGACCTCCAGTGAGGATGTTGTCGCTTCCAGAAATATGTTCTTAAATTAAGACTGTGCAGCACAGGCCAAAAAATCCTACTGGAAGTCAGTGACACAGGTTTGCCTGCAGCTGTCAGGCCAAACTTTAACATGGCTTGCAGTACTTGACAGGTGCTATATAACACACCTGTGAACGAGCTCTTGAGAGTAGGGCCAGAGCTGTGTGTATGAAGCTGCTGACCTCACTTGCACAGAAGGATTGCTTGATAGCCAGCCACTTTCCAGACCCTGCAGAATTAAGCAATTCTCTGCTGTCCCCTCAGAATTACAGGATAGGCCCCCGTTCTATATGGTGAGGTGCTGGAATCCATCCAAGATCCCTCTGAAACTGGCAGAAATCCCACCAGCTTGCAGAATTCTGATGTTTTATTGTCCCATCAAACAACACCCATGCGTGAGACCGGGGAAATTAGATTCACCAGTCTATGTACAGTGAAGTAACTTTCACATCTCCATTGTAATGACAGAAGACTTCTATTTCTTAATACGTAATTTAGTTTAAAGAATTGAAGTTCATGTTTACTTATTAAAACACTTGACCTAAAGTTAGTAACAGGTTATATCTTGATGAGAAAAATTTACTGTGGTCAGTTTTTCATGTGTTCATCCTCAAAGCTTGGGAGAGGAATTTTTTAGATTGTCATCTTTTTTTCTTTTTTTTTTTTTTACCCGTTTCTCCTAACAGTAAGATTTCAGCAATAAGGGGAAATATATTTTTAGCACAAAAGCAATAAAATCCTCCATGTTGCAGGTACTATAAACTGCTGAGTAAACTCAGAGCAATAGAGAGGAAGCAATATTACTTTAAACAAAAAACAGTTACTTGCATAAGGACTTTCAATAAGCATAAGTCTTCCTTTGTTAAGCAGATGCTATCAGACCAACGTGGGATACAATTTCTGGTTGATTTGTGTTATAATTACTGAGTTCCTGAATAGAATTACACAGCAATAATATTTTATCGTAATTCTTGGGTCCCAAATTTGTGCTGTTGGCAAGAAAAAGTTACGTCCTGCAGTGGGGATTTTTATTCTTTTCATCGTTTGGCATTTAGTTGTACAGCATTCTGTAGGTAAATCTTTTCAGGATTTCCAGTTGTAACGGAAAATACCGAATTTGCCACGCTTATCAAGATGGACATGATAAATGGTGCTAACCCCTTCTGAAGATAGCTTGGTTCTGGTATCAGTGAAGAGAACCCCTACCAGCTATTTGGAAGCAAGCTGAAAGGCCTGCTGTTGCTGCTGCATTTTCCTACCACTGACGCTCAGTAACATCAGCAGCTGCGTCCGTCTTTTAGTGTTCAGCAGCCAACCTTGAGGCGTCTTGGAGTCTCTAAAGCCCCTCAATGGACAGCAGTGAACTTTGGCTTAAACCAGCAGGCATGCTGTCCTCAAAGTGCTGTTATTTTGTTACCTCATTTTCTTAGGGATCGTTTCGCCTTTAAAAATAAGATACATGTGACTTCATTTCCCCAAGGTGATAAGCAATCTGCTGTGTGACTGGAACTTGGGATTAGATAGCATCACTACAAATCAAGCCCCTGAAACATAACTACACACTCATTACTTAAAAAAAACCCCAAAATGTTCAGAACAGGATTTTCAAATGGTTGGCCGCGACTTTTATGAAAAGAAAGTATACATGGTCTGGTTTTTCTATGTACAATAAAGAAATAAGAATTGGACAGAGTAGTCACTATTAAAAAAAACACTAGCTGTTCTGTCACTTTATCTGAGATACTGAGTGGTTCTGTTCAGTGGTAGTCCAGAGATGTTCAATGTAGAAAAATTAAGATCTCTCAGCCTCTGCTTATAGAGAACTAAAAGGAAGGGACTAAAAGGAATTGGTGTAATTTATATGTCATGAATAAGCAATAGGTCACGAAACACAGGCATGCATATCTCCCTCATTTGTCAGTATAAGAATGATGGAACTCCCAATAAACTTGAAAGGTCTCTTGTCTAGAGATACTTTTTTGGTGCAAAAGGAAATTACCCCTTAAAATTGGGTGCTTCTGTCTTCTTCAGACCAAGAATTTGCAGTTCCTTTTAATGCACGAGAAATCTGAGTGAACTGCAAGGATATCTGCTTTCATATTAGGTGGACGATGAGAGATGGAAGTCTTTATGGCTTGGTGAAACAGCCAGATACTCACTGCTTGAACTTGGATAGGAAGGACGCTTGAATAAATGCATCCCCTGTGAGAAGGTTATTTTGAGCTGTCCATTTGGAACCTGACCCAATGCACATGGAGCCCCTCAGAGGGACCCTGGGACTGCCCTTGTTCTGGGGTGTATTGCAGCAGTCTATGTGTCCCTGAGGCTGGCAGTGTGGTTGTTCCTGTTGAATGGTGTCCAGAGAACAGAGATCAAGGGAGATGATCAGAAGTGAGGTCCACCTTCCTTGAAAATGTCGCCTCATGTTTTATTCAGATTATTACTTGTCTTGTTAGCATAGTCTTGTGTGGCTCCACTTGAAATCAGAAGAGAGGTTTTGTGGAAAAATATTGAAAATGCACAAGTAGCACTACCAGCAGATTATTTTACAGTAAGTCGTTAGGTATTTCTGTTTCTTCTGAGGGGCAGCTGAGCCTGTAACTTTGCAGTAAAGGTTTCTTTGAAAACAGTATGCCTTTGCACTAAAAAAGTCTACACTGTGGTTTATTCACAAAATTATTGTGATCTTGTAAGCCACACAAAAAGAAAGAGTTACACATTTCATTTACTCTTACATGAACTTTTTCTAGAAGAGAAGGAAAAAAACCAAACCTGAATGTAGGTTAGGTGAAAGCCTATTGCAGTTAACTAGTGCACCGCTGCTATGATGCAGATTAATTCAGTGCAACCAAAATAATAAGGGGAGATTTTTCCAGTGGAGATGTTTTGCAAATAGGCTGAGAGAGTGAAATTCATTTTAGAACAGCAATCAGTTAAAGTTGCCATCACAGACTCCTTGAACTGGCGTTTAAGGAAATTGTTCTCACCTCCCCAAACCTTTATTTTGTACTGTACATATGCCAAGGCAATTTTTACATGCTCACTGACATGCTAGATATTTAACTGAACAAGACAGTATTATGGGTTTCCCCCTCATAGGTAGGGGGAAGAGTCTTATGTCCCAGAATTAATGACCTGATTTAGTTATATGATAGCTCTAAGTAACATAGACGTTTCTAAAAAGCATAGAGTAGTTATGGGCATTCAGTGCATATTTGGGGGCTTCCTTAAATTGCTAGTGTAGAGTATTAGTATTTCAGCTGATGGCCATAGGATTATGGCTTGTGTGTTTTTGTGTTTTTAATGGTTTTTTTCATGCTTCACCTCACCACCACCGCACACCCCCCCCTTCCCCCCCCCCTGTAGTAAGATGTCTGGTACAATCCTGTTTGTTTCAAGACTAACATTGGTTTACAGTTGGATTTAATGATCCTAAAGGTCTTTTTCAACCTAAATGATTCAACCTAAGTGATTCCAAGTACCTGCCTCTCATAAGTACAGCAGTGCATTCTTAGGTAAAAGCTTATTTACAAAGTTTTTTAATAGTTTGTTATAACCTTTTCAAATATATCAGCAGCATTTTTTTATTGAACAACTCTAGCGAGCATTTGCCTTATGCTGGAAATGTCTGATTCACCTGTGCAGAGGAAAAGCTGGAGGGAAAGTGTACTGCTAGAATTTTTTTTTTTTACACTAATACTCTTTTTTCCTCAAACAATTTGATCCCAACCGTATGATGTACCATGTGGTCTGAGCACAGGCCTAATCCCAGTTTGTCAAGAAAAAAGTAAGCCAATACAAACTGTACATGCTGAAGACTGCATCCTGCAAGGATTTACCTTAGAAAATGGAGACGCAAAGAGGTACCAATAAAATAGATTTTTTTTTAACTATAAATTCATTCTTAAAGGGAAATGCCTATGTTCAGGTTTAACTTAAAGAGTTTAAATACTAATTATATTATGTGCTGAATAGAGAGTTTCATAGAGTATTTTGGTATGCCATTAGCTTAATTACGTATGATGAGCTATCACTTTTAAATAGCATAATTACATACTTAAATATAATATATATATACATAATTATTATGATTATTTAATTTACTTTTTATATGCATGGTATGGTATATCTCGTGCTCTATACCTTCTTCAGTGTTGACATGGTTGAAGTGTAACCTCTTTGTTGAGGCAGTTTCGTATGTTTAAAGAAAAATATTGCCAAACTTGTATGAGTCTTGTAAACACTGAAAGATTCAGTGGCAATTGATATATCAACATGGACCGGCTAGAGGTTTTGGAAGGGAGGCAAATTCACATGTCTTTAATTTGGATAAACCCCATTACCAGCTTTGAGATTACAGGAATGTGTTCTCTCGCCACATGTGGGACAGAATGCAGGAAGGATATTTGTCACAAACGTGAGCCTATGTAGCAGGTATATCTTCCTGAACACAAGGTTCCCTGATCTCTCTTGCTCTTTTTCTGTCTTTCACAGGTGCTTTGGTAACAGGGCTGCTCAGATCATGAGTCTAAACAGCAGTCCACACAGTTATGTGACACAGGTGCACATTTTGCACTGGCTGATGCTAGAGCATCTAAAAAACTTTATGCATTCATATTTAAGGGCATGTAAAATACCTGTATGCTTCAATGGTGTTTTAGCAAAAGGGTCTAGGACTTCTAAGATTCAGGACCAATGTGTAGAGCTCTTGATGCATTGATGACTTTTGGTCCCCATAGAATTTTCCACTTATTTCAGTGTTCACTAAGATTAAACCCATCAAAATAATCAGGAATTTGGCTTCCCACACTTTCAGGGAAGAGATATTTTTACAGTATGCAAATGAAAGCAGCGTGACCTGGGCCTTTGAAAACTGAGGTACCCACATCGTGAATGGGTCATATGGTTGCGTCCCCATGGAGTATGGGGAGTTGTGGCCCCTTCATGAGTTTTTGTTTGAAGGGCAGACAAATGCCCTCTGACAATGTACTTCCTCAATATATGAGCAACTCTCAGTTCACTTTGTGGTGCCTCTGCCCCAGAGGGCTCATGAGAAAAGAGCGTGAAGGTGAGGCTTTTCTGTAGGGTTGGTTGATCGTAGATCAGAGCACACTGGGTTTGGAAGGGAGCTCTGCTCTCAGCACAGAGTTTTCTGAAGACACGATAGAAAATAGCGAACCTTCTTCGATCACATTCCAGCCAAATTTGAGCTCCTTTCTTTTGTATTGCTCTTTCAGTGTAAGCAGAGACTTCCCTTAGTCTAGGAGGAGGAGAGTAAGTTGTTGCTAGGAGTTAGCACACTCCAGCATGGAGCTTTTTACACAGCAGCTACCCCAGAGCCGAGCAGCTGAATGTACAGTAGTCTGCTTCTGAATGCAGGCCGGTCCCTATAGGAAGAAAATGCACTTTTCCAGAAGGTAGGAACAGTATGTGTGATTTGTGCCAAAAGTGTGGAATGACTATTGCAGCTGAAGAGGCAGGTAAATTGCCTAGATTACATATGCAGCAAAATACTCAGGCAGTCTCTAGGGTTACTTGCATGTGCTCAAATATATTTTGTGTTGAAGATGATAGCAGTCCCATGTATGTATGGAGGAGGAGAAGAATATTGACTTTTCTGTTAGGCCTCAGCCAGAGCCAACCAAAGGAAATGGGCATTCTTGATTTTGTCAGTTTCCAAAAAAAGCCACATTACACCTCTATCCATTTTGATGTCTGCATCTTTTTACTCTTTTGAGCTAAAGTCATCCTTTGTTTGGTCTCAGCTTTACTGTCACAGCCAAAATCTACAAAAGTTGGTTGAAAATGTGTTTACAAATGAAATTTCATTTGTATGTTTGGATAAGATGCTATAAATGTGCCTCTGAAATAAAGCTGTAAAACTCAGTCTTTAACTTCAGGCCATGAAATTTGGAATACCCTGGGCTAGTAGAACCACTTGTAATTTCCTAGACTTACTAACTAGACCCCTACTTTTTTTTTTGTTGCCAAATGCAATTAAAAATAACCTGTGGTTTACCATGTTCATCTCATTAAATTTTCAGAGAGAACTTTTCCTAGGACACATCGTGTGATTCAGGTAAACACCTGGTACTACTGACTGCAGTGTAGTTCCGTGCTGAATTCTAAAAGCCTTAGCAAAAGCATCTGCATGGGGGATAGTTCTCATGCTACATATCTCACTAGGAGCCAGATGGATTGAAATTCTGCATGTTGTGCTTTTTATATGAAAACCAGTTACTGGTTTCATACATAAAGGCCTGCAGTTATTTCTTATACTAATTTAGGGCTTTTTTTTTTTTTTTTAATTTAACCATGGTTGAAGTTTGAACCATACCTTACCAGAGTATGAAGTGATTTTAAAAGGAATTGAAACATCTTGGCCTCAGTTTCCCTTAAGCTTAAAGCTTTGAATTGCAACTACAGAGCTTCTTGTTGTATACAAGATAGTAATTTAATGCACTTTATTTAAAAAAAGGCACAAATTATTTTCTTTATAAAATGGTACAATTGCACTATGCTGTAAGAATTGGTTACTAAATATAAACTGTACAGTTTTGTAGTCAACATTGTGTTTAGTCGTAAATGATGGAAACAATTACATGTTTCAGTTAAATGTTAATTTTATATGTGGTGTATGTAACCATAAATAAATTTTCCTTTCTAAAAAAAAATGCTGTTTGTTTCATTTCATTGAATTTCACATTATATTGCAAATAACAAAACAATATCCTGTCTACAAATATAAAATTAAGTATGTTCCAGTGTAATGAGATGACAGATAACACTGACTAAACCTGGGGAATTAAATTCAGATGTCCAAACTTCAGTTGAATTTCTGTAGATCCCCTGCATCTACTAACACTACAGAAGAAATATCAAGCAATTTTGTACAAAAACTCTGAAAGAAGGGCTAAGTGGAATTCTTGAATGTAGAATTCCAAGTGAAAGCCAGAATACCCTTCCAAATCCACCTTTCTTTCTTGGTTTATCTCTACTGCTCACTCTTCTGACACGCTGCCATTTATTATCATTGTATACACTCAAATTTGGGGGGGAAAAATATAATTGCTAAAGGGATGTAAATACTTAAGTTTTGAGTTAGTAGGCGTTAACTGGGAGAGGTAAAAGTTGCAAGAAACTGTTACCCTAGGTTTTTTTTTTTAAAACCTTTGGTCCTAATCCTCCAATTAAGTAACTGCAAAATCAGATAACGTGATCAGATCTATTTCCAATTTGACTGTTACAGACAGGCTGTTGGAACAGAACATGTTGGACCATCTCATTTTCCAAATTAAATTTTTTATAAAATGTGTATCTTAATTCTTTTAAATGGTTTTCTTGAATACTCAGCTTATTTTCC